TTATAAATAATTGAGTTGGTAAAATATTTTCATGGCATGTTATTTGTCGGTAAAATGAATAAATTTAGAATAAAAAAAAGTCATCAAACTTAAAACATAAAAAATTTGAAAATTTTATAATTATTAAACCCGTTTAAGAAATGGAAAAATTGGGAATTTTTTTTTTTTTTTTTTTAAAGTTGATTCCAATATTGATTTGTTCCTAATTTCTTTAATTTAGGATCAGATTATCGGATCGAATTTTCGATAATATAGCAAATCGGATTTGAATTTAACAATCAAATCTCCGTTGGATTATCGGATTGAATCGGATATAAGTAGATTCAGTTTATAACCGATCCATTTACAGCCCTATGCTCAGCTTTGTGGAGCAAAATTTGGCCAAGGTGTTGATACTATGGGTTCTAGGCGTACGCACCTTTTGGGTCAAAGTGATCTTTGGCTTGAATAAATGGTCTTTTATGTTTATTGTATATCCACTTTCGCGATTTTACTCCGCTAAAATATTTTTCTCAATATATAAAAGTCCATGTGTAGTCTGCACGAGAATATATTGAACACAATCCAATCCCGATGTTCTAGGGAATTGGATTTATTTCAATTCCATATTAATATACGTATAATCCTTTTAGTATACAAATAAATAAGTTTTAACAAATATTCTTTTATTGACTAAGTTAAATATATAAAAGTTACTTATTTTGATAATAGTATCTATTTTAGGGTGAAAATAAATAAATTTTAACTTATAAGTGTGAATAAGTAATCTATGAATTACGTAAAAATAAAATATTAAATACTTTTCAGCTTAGTCAAATATGTAGCATCTCTTATTATTAAAACATTTAGCTCTAATCAATAAAATATTTTATTATAAAATTTACTTATTTAAATATATGTGAAATTTTGAAATGTAGTCAAATATGCGGTGAATAAAAATTTAATTTGGTAACGAGGATTCTCAAGTGTCAACTAACTGGAAATTTCACTTTTAACGATGAATTTTTTTGTCATGAAGTCATATTTGAATTATTTCGTCGAAATGGTCATCAATAAGATTTCAAGAAAATATATTCTATCGTTAAATATTAAATTTTGCACCAAAACTATTGCTAACTACTTATGTCTAGAGGTGAGCCATTATATCATAGAATACGTGTGACGTTAATCGTCATAGAATACGAACACAGAAAAATTGGGTAAGTATGCGATATATTTCTTGTTAAACAATCCAAAAAAATAAAGAAAAGGAAAATGAGGCTATATAATTGATTTATAAATTTGTCAAATAGAGTCTAAGTCTTCTAACATTATGGTAAATATTATTAATTAGCCAAAAAGTGACTACGATTATATTAAGATAATATAAAATGCAGAAAATGTACAACAATACATGCATAAAATGTTGTTTTGATATCCCATATGTTCAATGTACATAATCATCTCTTGTTGTATGTCATCTTCAAGTTTGTCAAACTTCCTCTAATTATTCTTGCTTTTACATACGTTAGGCATGGTACATGTGCCTCACAACCCCTCAAGCACTCCAGCTATGTATCCATAGTTATACTATCTCATATCTTTGTTGTTTAGGTAGGCAGTGTAAGTGTTATGCCCTTGGTCCAATCAATTTGGACATAAATACTTTAAATATATGTAATTGATGCATATGTATGGCAATATCTATTATTTAATTGAATTAATATTCTAATAAATTAAATAATAGAATCCGTAGATTCAAGTCTTGGTGATTTGTTAATCACAAGGAGTTGTGATTGTGAGATACAAATTACATATGATCGAATC